ACCGCGAAGAAACAGCAGTTCTTGCGAAGTTGCCTACCTTCGCAGGAACCGCTGTTTCTTCGGAGACAGTTATTTGTCTGATAAGTTAACCACTGTGCGCTGTAGTTCAATTCTGGGTGCAATTTCCTTCTTTTCTACAAGCAGTTCGTATTTTCGAATTTGTTTTCTAGAAATGTGTGTCTTCTGTGTAATCATCGTACTGTGGGAAATGCGGTCAGTGTTGTTCCAATCGTCCGGTCGGAGCGTTTTACTGATCTGTAAGTGCAGTCCATATAGGGCCTTGCCTGTGAAAGCTATATCCTGACGGGTTTGTTGAATCAGTTTCCGGAACAGAGCTTTTTCCATATGGTCATAGATGCGGTGCGATGACTTGGTGGAGAAATAGCGTTTCTGGCGCATGAAATTCGGAATTACGTTGTTGTTCCGGTAACGAAGTAGAAGGAGCATAGCATTTGAGCCTTCTTCTGAAGTAGTCCCTTTACTCGACGTAGAAGTTTGTGAGTTTCTTCCCGGTATAGATGGTTCCCATAGCATTGTAGGCTTTCACACTTCTTGTATTTGTGGTAATACAAAGCTATGTACTGCTGCAGGAAAAAGTGCCAATTTTTCTTTATAAAAACACATTTAGTGGGTCCCTGAGACTGGAAAAGGAGATTTTTCTATTCCTATACGTGGTAAACTACTTTCTCAAATATATGATATAGTGAGAATCCGTGTTTTGTGTTCCCACATGCCATCCATCTCGGAACAACACTAGTGCCTAACTACGTAGAATTGTCAACAAAATCGGCATTTCGTTGTCACTAGGTGATGGCATTGCACTTCAAAAGAATCTTTTAATTTTGTAAGGGGACTTGCACATGAATCTCTAAGATGTTTTTTTAAATTTTCTCAAAACGCTTTCCAATTTTTTTTGTTTACATTTTTTGCTCAGTTTTTGCTAAGGGATGCTTATAAATATTGCACAGGAATGATTTTCAGTATCTCTAAATTTTCGAAAATTGCGGAAGTTAATGTTTTTTCAACACCCACTTACAACTATATTATTTCTTTCTTAATGCAATTTTTCCTCAATATTACCACTTTGAATATGTGTATGGCTGTTTCAAAATATTATATTTGGACATAATTTGGACTGTGTTGTTGTGATAGGATTTTAATATTGATATATGATATTGCTTATGATAGTGTCAGGGTTTGGTCACCTCTTGATTTGTGATACCTTGCACTTGGATTCAAATCCCAGGAGGAGAAAATATTTTTTTCCTGTTATTTCTTTTTTAACAATAGATCACATTACATTGAATTCAATTGCCAAACTAATTTTCAAGAAAATTAAATTAAAACTTTTTAATTTGCAAGAAACTGTTGTTTATCTTCATTTTTTTTTTTTTTGTTTAATTTTTTATGTAACAAATACTAATTACCTGTTATAGACAAAAGTCAAAATTTGGCCACAAAAATCTGTTGGCAATTCCAATTTTTAATTTTGGTGTGAGTTTTTACTAGTTTCTAATGAATATAACAATTTTTACTTTCTCGCCTTGATAAGTACCAACATAGTAAAGAGGAAGTATTGTAATGCTGTAGGAAAGTTCTATTCTTGTGTTTTTCAAAGTCAGATCTTTAAATATGGTTGTGTACATTTTTTTTTCTGAAATATGAGTGGTTTTCACAAAATTCTCTGAAATATAGGCAATTTTTAAACAATTATTTTCTAAAAACTGGCTCCAATTTTTTCATCAGAGATGGACCACAATAAAAAATGTCCTGTTTTTGGTAAACTGTATTTTTGAAAATTGCCAAAAAATTAAAATTGCAAAAGTACAATATTGATTACAAAGAATTTTAAATATTTAAAATTGAGAGATCTTCAAAAGAGGTCATGCACAAAGTTTTGACAAAGCAAGTAGTTTTTGCATAATTTTTCCCTGAATAGCAATTTAAAAAAAAAATCAGAAAGACCTTTTTTCTTTCTTTCTTTCTTCTTCTTCTTATTCTTCTTATTCTTATTCTTATTGGATAGAGTACAGGGTGCATAAAAGGAAGACGCACATTTTCATTTAACTCTGAGTTTTGGAAAGTGGCAAAAGTTATAAATAGTGTGTGGATGTGTGTGCTGTTGTAGCACCACTAGTTTATCGTAGTAACAACTGCCCCATGTGCACTCAATTTGGGCACTCAATGAAAGGGATGTTTAATTGTCAATGCTTAAAAGTTAATCATACAAAGGCTTTTCCTTAGTTGTGCTCTGTAGATCACTTTATTTTGTTCTTAATTAGAATTATTTTGAGGAAGCATAATGGCCTACGTCTGCCAATCGGGTAGGTAGTCCTTTGGGAAATCTCAGTTTAATAGTATCTTATGATAAGATGGAACAGTTTTTATCTATATTCTTAAAGTATTCAGGTAACCTGTATATGACAGTCCACCTGTTAACTCGCATTTAGAACTTCTTTCGGTACATGTCAGACTCTCTTATATGCCAGATGAGGTGTCATTGAATGCATCTTGTTTTATTGGTGCTGGTGGATTCTGGACCCTTCCTGATCATTCTAAGAGAATTATGGGTAAAATGTATTTCCTGGGACTATTTGCACCCAAAACACTTCTAGGTGTTTTGAGGTACCTACAGAGGGGATAAATACTGCATTGGATTCCTCTCAAAAACAACAGATTGGTTGGCATTGTTTTTTACTGCAGTGTTCTTGAGTATACAATAAGTATTGGAAGGCCAACATTGATGAAATACTGTTAATTTATAGTAAACCTATAATGAATTCCAAGCACTAAAATAATAGTGTTTGGGTCATCTGATTATTATATACAGATTTGTCAAGTAACTTTAGCTCCTGCAGTTTTTGAATGCTTGAGGTTATTGCAATGCATTTTTCACAGATGTGCATGAGGGAATGGGACTAATTGATACATGTATTCATTTATATTTTATCACTTGTATTTTACTAGATATTGAAGTAACTTTGTGTTTTTTCAAATGAAACTTGACATATTTTTTTAGTGTATTGTGACGAGCATAAAAGACAAATCCAATGATATACATACTGTCATATGTTAGATAAGCATTTTTTTGTGTAATTTTGAGTTTTTGCGACATGGTTAACAGATATTTTGATTGTAACAGTCAGTCACCGAAGGTCACAAGTAAGACAAAAATCTGTAAATGCAGAAGGATGGAAAGCTGACTTCAGGAAATACTTGCAACAGTTTTGAGAAAAGTTGGAATACGTTTCGTATCTTCAAATACTTCGATCAGCTTCCCCTGCTTTAGTGCGTTCTAGCGCAGGGGAATTCTGCGTGGCCTTCAGTGGCAGACTGTTACATTCAAACTATCTGCTAAAAACACAAGTCACAAAAAAATCAAAATTACACAAAAAAAGCTTATCTAACACATGACAGTATGTGTATCATTGGATTTGTCTTTTTATGATCGTCACGATAGACTAAAAAAATGTATAGATCCATTTGAAAAAAACAAAAAACAAAGTTATCTCAATATCTCATAAAATACAAGAGATAAAATAGAAATGAATACACGTACCCATTCCCTCATGCACATTTGTGAAAACTGCATTGCAATATTCTCAAGCGTACAAAAATTGCAGAAGGTGCTTAAGTTACATAACTCACCTGCATATCGTTATTACTTTCTTTTCTTACCTGGACCCAAATATTCCTTGTGTTACAGTGAAATTCGTGTTAAGTGAATATGTATTAAAAATGGTTTTCTGTACTATACTGCATTTCCATCTTATGAATCATTACAATTTCATTCATCAGACTGATTAAACTTTTTTTGTAATGAAACAAAAGAAGTTTAAAAAGTATATTTACTAATTTACAATGGCTTAGGATGGACAAGTCAGACAAGTCTATTATGTGTGAAACTTCTCTTTACTATGAAATTGTAAAATAAATAAATAAAAAAATAACATGACAATGTATGTGGGGAGGAGAACACTAAGTTAATAATATGAAATAGTATAAGTGATAATTTTTTATGGAGAAACTTTTGAATTAATCATAATATTATTTTCCTTTTCTTTTATAATTTTATTGATTTTTCATAAAAGTTACCAATATTTTAATGGTGTTTGGAAATTCATGTGAAAATGAGCTCATGTGGGGAGATAACTGTGTGCATTTGCTTGTGGTTTTGTGTAGTTCCAGTTTGGAAGATAGCCACATTTAAATACTCAAACTATAATACTAAATATTTTTCATGAAAATAGTATTTTTCAGTAATTATTTTAGATCCAATCCCTGTTTCTCCTATTACTGATTTGCTTTTGCCAGAGTTTAATGCAACATTCTCTATAACAAATATAGAAAATCAAAAAGTATTAACAATTCTTTGATGCAATACATATCCTGGAGTAGTTTTGCCAATTCTCCAAGCCATATAATGGTCTTTCAAAGACCCACAGCTGACAGAACAGTGTTCATAGATCAGTTCTATTGTTAGTGTTTCTATATTGTAAAATATTTAGAAATGAAATTCAAAAATTGAATTGAGAGCAGTCCCATGGTAATGCATAAATGTTCTTACCTAATTCACTCAATTTTCATCCTTGTAATAAGGAATGCTTTCCAAATTATTTTTCTGTAAATTTTTAACTACAATTAGAAAACATTTGTGGTGTGATTTGCAGCATAGGACTGTTGTCAAATTATTCTGCTTATGTGAAATAACATAGTGAAACTAATGGGCTGGCAACCATAGTTTAAATTCATTTATAATGCAAATAATTAAGTAAACAAGACAGGAGAATGTATACATTTACCTTTTAATTTGTGAGCTTTAATGGTGTTTGGGGGTGGGGAAAATTGTGGTGATACATTCTCTTGTAGTGTTTGAGTTGCTTGCCTATAATGAATTAAGATTGTTTTTTGGATTTAGATTAATCAATCTGTCAACATTAGAAACTTATGGTGAATATTGTGTGTGTTGATTTGAACACATTTGATGACCTTTCCTCCAGCATACTCAGACTCTGACAGTGAATGGAGTTCTCTTGAACGGAGGCAGAGGGCAGCAGACATCTATTGTAAAGTCAATCGAAAGCCTACTCCCCACAAACGGATACGCAAGAAACGCACTGCTATTCCTGTTCCAACTCCAAGGGTCCCTCCAATTCAGGCGTTTGTGCCTCCTGAGGGGGCTGCTATGCTTAACTATCAGTTAAAAGAAGAACAATCTCGGGGGGGTTGTGATTCCAGTGAAAAAGGTACACATGTTCTGCCAAGTAAATATGTTGTATGTGCTTGTGGTATTGTGCTCTTGTCTGTCTTTTAGTGCCAGAGTGAATTATGTGTAACGTGTTGTTGTGGCCTGACCTTAAGCTTCATTTTCTCTGGCATGATAAAAGCGAAATATGCTTGATGTGGATGAGTGCATGCATGTTCCTCCTTGTTCTTCAGTTAGAAACATGACAAACTGTGACAGATAGGAAGAAGGTGCATTTTACATGAAAATTATTTATGTTTGTCTCCTCAGAATAAGTTGAATATCGCCTAATTCTATATTTACAGTAAAGGGAGTGATATTTTGCTTAATTATCTGAAACTTCTCTCTGAAAATTTTGGAATTAGGTAATGCATCCAATTTTGTTAATGGCGTATTCATTGAACCTGTGTATGTCTTTCATTCAACAGATGTTGATATGTAACATAGATCTGGGAGGTAATTGCCATGTGGGATTATTGGAATGAATGTACTTACATTCCAATTAATGCTTTAAAAACTCACTAAAGAATAAGTTCATGATCTATAAGTGTCAGAAATATGCACAATATGATGTGGACCCTTGATCTTACTCTTGTTTTTATATACTCTTCTCCATTGGTAATTGCTCATAATTGTAAGTACACATGTAAGTGTCACAATTCAAAGTTTCAGTTATCAGCTTTTTGCTTTATCAAAAATATCTCTACATTAACTTTTGTAACTTGTGTTATGATAATTTAACATCATAAGGAATCACAAAGAGTACTTAACTTCTTTGTATTATCCTAAAAAACTTGTAATTATTCAAATAACCAAAAAGAATTGTTTTTGATTTGTGAAACTTCAATTTCCATCATAATTGCATTGCTTGATGTTCTTTAATCACTACTGAATAATTATAAGAAGTATATTATTGAATGCAATGTGTTTTACTGCAAAGTGTAATGAGTAATATGTAAAATTGTTGCATGAATCTGATAGGATAATGTTGGCAACAAGATCATATTATTTGTGATGATGCATGTAGTGGGAACCACTCATAGCTGTACTTCATTGTTCTACATGAGCATCCATATTTATAATAGTATTTATATATATCTATAACTATCTATAATTATATATATATATAATATTATATATATATATATTTAGGATATATGTGTGGTTGGGTGTGTGGATGTGAGTCCAAGTATATGAAAAGTAGTCTTTCAGTGTTAGTTTTGTTTCTTCCCATTTTCTTGTGTATTTGTATTGACTTGACTAGAGTAATTAATTGTTGTTTTATGCATTAACGTGTTCGTGCAGCTCTTGTTTGCTAGTTCAGAGATGAGCAACTCACCTTAACCAATATAGGTGGAAAAAAATACTTTCTAGACCATACCTTCCCCATAATCAGGAACCAGATGTGTCTGCTACCTGAAGGATTACACATGTTCCTGTTGAATGTGCTGTTGTATGTTCTTTGCAGTGTGACAGGTGATGAGAGCTTGAGTGTTTACATCTGATGTGAAGGAAGCGCCTAGTGATTTTTTGATATCTTGTTTTCTTTATTTGTGCTGCATATTTGTGACAATAAAGATAATCTAATTAATATTAAAAGTTGTTCACCTCTGAGCTTTAGCAAATTTCTATCCTAAGTAGAATTGGTTATCAAGAACAGGATTGCATGATAATATTAATGTGGAAATTTGTTCTGTGATCATGAAATTGAAGGGTTTGTTACAAAGGTTTTTAAAGTTTTTGAAGGCAATGAACAAAGTATTGTTATTTTCCAAAACTTATTTGAAACTGGAGTCCACTACCAATTATCATAATTAGTATGTAATTTTCTACATCTCTTCATTGAAGAGTTGAACTTCAATGACTTTAGTAGTTGAAGAACCTCTAATTGCCAACAAATAAATACATATATTCATTGAAGTATTCAGATTGTGTTTTAGGGCCATGAAAAAAGGTCCTGAAAAATGAGAACATTTGTTACTCAAGGCATTTTATGAAGGACTAATGTTCCTTTCCAACTCTTTTATGTGTCATGCTAAGTTTTTAAAAGTTTACTTTTTTAAATTATCACACTGTGAATCAAGATTCACAAGGATGAGTAAATAACATTAGATATTTGGTATGAACAAGCTTTGTGTAAGTGTATAGGTGTTGTGGGAAGATATCTTTGGCATTTTTAAAATAATAAAAGATGTTGTCATTGCCAACAATATTTTTTAATTCAATAGCAGCTTTCGATGGCTTAGCCATCATCATCAGTTGTCTGCTAGATGGAAGCCACAAAACGACTACTAGCAGACAACTGATGATGATGGCTAAGCCATCGAAAGCTGCTATTGAATTAAAAAATATTGTTGGCAATGACATCTTTAATTATTTTGTGTAAGTGTGCTGAAAATCATTATTAATATTCAACCAAATGAAAATGCTTTGTGGGTAAGAATTGTTTGTAGAATCGTTGCTTTTGAATTTTGGATCTGAAAATACTTATTCCAATTCTCCATTCAATGGAAAGTTTAGAAAAGGGTATTGATTATTGGGGTTTTTTATATTTTTATTTTTTTATCTACATTTATACTAGGTAGTTCAAGTAATGTGTTGGTTGTGTAAATAGCTGTTGGCCTTTTCAAATGTTCTGATGATCCAGAAATGTACAGGATTGTTCAAGGCATTAGTAGGTGGTAAATGTAACCAGCCCTTCATTTGCATGTTTTTTTATGTAGGACATTTATAAACAACCCATCTGTCCATAAATGTGGAAAAGTATCACTTGTGTATTCTGAGCAATTGCAATGTTGGGATTTTTAAAATCTTAATATTTGCAGGGCTATTTTATTCACTGCACAATCTTGCCTGATTTGAGTGCAGATGAAAGAAACAAAAAATTTAGTGGCAGATGTTCAGAACTATTGAAATGTAACTGTTTTTACTTTTTTATTCATTTAATATTTCATAAAGATGTGTGCAAAGGCATTTTGTGTTAAAAATTAGATTAAATATATTTAAATCCAGCTGCAAATATGATGCAATGACATGTGAAATTACTAATGCAGTTTTGGTGAATACAAGTATTTTGTGTTGTGTTTTTCAGTTCATAGTGAAACTCCATCTGATATGAGTGATATTAGTGAACCTGAATTGTCCAGCTCTGCTACACAGTCTCGCCAAAAGTATCAAAAGCATTCAATGCGCCTGAAGAAAAAGTCTGGCAGTACTACCCTGGCCCCAGTAGGGCCACCTGTTGTGCCCAATCCATCAGAACTGCGCGGGCATCCTTATGTCCCTCACTTACAGTCAGATAATGATGTTCTCTCTTGTAAGTTTGCAATCATTCTGCAATAATTCTGTAATATAGTGTTGAAGGTGCCAAAAAACAGAGCACTGAATCAAAATGTAGTATTAGATGTGACTTCTGTAATACCGAAAGGTGTTCAAAATGGCAATTTACCAATATCTATACCCTTCTGAAGCCCTAAACTACATCTTGAGCAACAGTGGCCAAACTCTCCACATGTATCTCTGCACATGCTGTTTCAGTTTCTTCTTGAAGATTTCTCAATGTAGCCAGTTTTCTTCTATACACCACACCGTTTGAAATCTCCAATAAGTAGAAGTCACGGGGATATTACATCAGGGAAACTTTCACAATTCTTGCACTTCACCAGTAATGGTACCTTAAAAAGTGAATGTTTTAATGAGACCAATTAATTACACATCAGATATTGGGGGCCCAGTAAATTGACTCATTTTCTATTTGATTGTGCTTCCACAAGGCCTAATCATTTTCCCTATAATATCACATCCTGTTGAATCATATTGAAACCACTTTCAATATTGCACCCCTCAATCTGTTTTCTTCTGTCTGTGCAATTTGCAATTTGCAGACCCACAGCCTATGGACTGCTGGGGCACAGACACACAAAATGAAAACATCATTAAATGTTTTTAATTTTTATCAAAATGTTTGATAAGTAACTAATATTTAATAACATTGAAACTATTAAAGTTTATAATTTTTAAGATTGAATTTAAATTAGGACAAAAAAGTCTGTGGTAACATAAATTTTAATAAAATGTATATTTACATCCTTAATGTTTTGCCACAATTGTGATGGTCCGTTATTACCATAGCAATGGCAACACTGTGCAATCACGTGAGTTGACAGGCAGGCGAGTTGAATGGGCAGTGAACTTGAAATATCATGAAATATACATTTTAAAAAACGTGAGTGAACTATTGTATTGTATCCCTTTTTTCATAACAGTAAGAACTATTGTATGCTTAAATGTACACATAACTTAAATATAAATTAGACTTTCAAAGTTATTATGTTTCTCTTCCTAAAAAATAAGTCTTCAAAATTCAAATCTTGCCAGGGGTGTTCATACTCATGACCCAAGTTACAACTCTGGTTCAGCTAACTCCTTGCTCACAAACCCATTATTTTGTAGAGGTCTGTAATAAAAGTCTATACTGTTCTAACTGAACCAGGAGGAGAACTTGCTGATGTGTGAGGTCTCCATATATTTCCCTTGATCATGTTGCAAGCATTGCTATGAATTTAGACTTTCTGAATGCATGCACTTTGTGGTCTGTTGGAGATTTTGTTGTATACTCGTATTTCTGTTGTTTTACTTCATTTGCATTCTTGAATAATAAATAACTCTTCAAAACGGCTTTCCAATTTTTGAAGGACATTCGTGGTTTTATTCTTTTCTTCATCTTTACTAACCATTTCAAGATGGTGCTAACAGTCATTTGATTAAAACCTTGATTGGAGAACATGTCATGCATGTTGCTAGTGTAATTCACTTAAACATTAAATCATAACGTGTCATAAAGTAGGCATACATTTATTGCCACCCCAGTAGTATTTTAATGACTCTGCCTAGCATGTAACTTAATGTTTGTTTCAGCTAAAATTAAAATGGATGTGTCATATGGTATTGGTCATGATGATGAGTCTAGCTTAGATGTGTCTTCTCCTCGAGATGTGAATTCACCAATGGTTTGTTGCAAAGTTCTATTTCAGTTGCTCTCCATAAATATTTGTTTGGAAGCATTACAGGATTTATCTTTTAAAATATATTAATTTTTTCTAGGTTAAGGAGGGCGATAAAACATCAAGAAGAAAAGACAAACAGAAAGTAAAAGCAGATGAAAAACAGGAGAAAAGGCGCATAAAAGAAGAAAAGTTGAAGAAACTTGCTGATAAAGAAAAAGAGAGAGAGAAGAAACGGGCTAAGGCAAAAGTGAAGAGCAGCCCTGTTGTGCCACAAGTGACACTGCAGGACTTTGCTCAGTCTAAAGATAACTACATTCCTCTCATTCTTGAGAAGTGTGTTAAGTTTATTGAAGAAGAGGGCTTGGATTCGGAAGGCATCTACAGGGTCCCTGGAAATAGAGCTCACGTGGATCTCCTATTCCAGAAATTTGAAGAAGGTAAATATTGGCACTATCTTTATTATTAAAGTTCTTAATAATTCAAAATTTAAAGGTGTAGAATATGCACTATTTTCTGTAATATAGATCCCAATTTCAACATTCATGATCTGGATATTCCTGTTAATGCTGTTGCTACTGCACTGAAGGATTTTTTTTCCAAACGTCTACCACCTCTTCTAACACGAGAGATGTTAGCAGAGTTAGAAGACATATCAGGTGAGATAAATTAGATACTATATTTTTGTTTGTCAACCGATTAGCTAATGTAAAAGTGCAATTTAAGTTCCATGTTTACAACAGATCTATAATTATTTGTTTATTTGCCTTTTCCTTGAGGTAAAAGAAAGCATGTATTTGAATTTGTGCTGTGTATATTTGTATGTGACTCTTTGTGTTCATCAGTATATTGACACCATTAGAACAATCAGTACTTTAAAATTTTTTTTGTCATTTATGTCAAAGGTGAGATAAAGTTTTTAACATTAAAAAAGGAATATTGTGAAGATAATGGTCAGTGCTGGTAATCTGAAAATTAACTGTTTCACAGATACATATACAGTTATTAGAGGAATGATTCATGTATACACTTCTGTGAAGTATTTTCTAGGTGTAATTCTTGATGTTTCTATTGTTAACTTATTTGAGAATTGGATAAGAAAATAAGCTTATCAGTGAAGCTGAGATTGAATTTATTTAATTACTGTTTAGTAACAGTTTTTTTATTTATTTATTTTAATGAGGTAGATAAAATGTTTTCTCTTTTCTTTTAAGTTTAAGTAAGCAATAGTAATATGCCTATATATGACTGTTTACTAATTTGTAAGCTAATAAATTTTCATATAATCATCAGATGGTCCTCAATGATAATATGTATTCCTTTATTGCAGCAGTATCGAGTTAACATAGTGTACACACAGATGCATAGGTCTGTCATTGGAAATAACACAAATATTGAGTACATAAGACGTATTCTGTCCTCATTGATACAATCTTGATCAAACTAATTCACCATTGTTTCAAAATACTAAATGTGCAATATACAAACAAAATAGGATTGATCAAGGTTTTTTTCCAGGTGCAAGAAGAATTAACAAACAAGTATCCACTGCTTATCTCAACTTAGAAGGTAAACTACTCTAAGTATTTGTACTAATAGAATAGTTGTATGAGCAGGAAAGACAGATATATAGCCAGGAACAAGCAGGCAGAACTAAGGAAAAGCAATGCGAAGAACTTAATTAAAAAGGAAATTTTTTATACAGGGTGTCTACTATTCTCTGATCTTCTTCTACTACTCTACAACTATACTATTACCTCTACTGCTGCTGCTATCACCGCAATCATATTCACTATTACCACCACCACAGATATTGATTATGACTGCAACAATGGTGGTGACTATTATGACTTCTTTAATCCTAACTACTATTTTTACTACTATAGCAACTCTAATAGCAACATCAACCACAACTGCCTCTACTGCTAGCGCTTTGATACTAATTACCACCTCTATCATCATGTCTGACACTACTACTATTCCCACACAACTATTATACAATGTCATGATCACTTTTATCACCACTGCTATTGTTATCTGCTGATGTATTACTATCATCATTTGTATCAACCATTCCATTTGTACTTCCATTTCTGCCCCCACTACCACCACATCCACCTACTGTTCCTGCTACTCGGACAGTTTTGTCACTGCTGCCCTTTGCCTCCTGCCCCCATCGTTATCCTCATCCTTGTCCTCGTCTGCCTCACCTTACTCCTTTACCTTCAACATCCCATTGTTAAAGTTATCGTTACCTTCTCCTCTGCCAAGTGTGGAATTACAAGTAATTCTGCCACTTTTAGCAGTCGGCCTCTCTTATGAATCCAGATCGTCTACCACTCTAATGAATACTTACATCGATCACCACTGCCACTAATGAGACCTCTAGTTAAGTACATTACTATTACTGTTACAACCTGTGCTGCCATCAGCACTTTGACAAGTGTTACCCCTATTCACCACTGTAGGTCTTGTTGCATTCAGTATTGCATTTCTAACACATTCAGCACTAATTTTAAATGTGGCTTGTGCTACAACTTGCTTTTCTGACATCTCACTGATTTCAACATATTGACTCTGAAGACTACCATTTGTGCTATTTTCTCTAGCTTCAACATAGAGACACAGATTTCTCCATTATTTTGTATCTTTGTGGCAACCACATCTACAATTATTACTGTAAGGTCCCCTCCTGTTACAGTTGTTCCAACTTTTGAGCCCTCTGCAGCACGTCTTCATTTCTGTCTCAACATCAAACCTCTCTCAATGGGACAACTTCTGTCTTAGGGCCAACACCTGTGCATTACAAACATCAGAACTTTAAGGATGACGTTGATGACTACTGCAAGTGTGTGGATGATCTCCTGTTCTGAAATTGCACATCTTCTTACACCTAACATGTGATATTTTGCTACTGTTTCTCATTGCATGCTTTGACAGGACTAAACTTGTTTCGTTTCAGTGTATTACTTTAAATTGAGAACTTACTTTCCTTTCTTTTTCCACTCGTGCTGTGCATGATTTGATATAGAATAAATTTGCCTCGTGTGTTTTCCAGTTGACAGCTGATCCGGCCTTTTCTTCTATTGTGATTTCTCCAAACCATGCTCATTACTTTCTTCTAGAGGTTGTAAATCTAGCATTTATATTAATTCACTTGTTTTATATTGATGAAAGAGAAAATATTTTAGTTTTATATTTGAGGTTAAGGGTGTGAGCTGACCACAAAAGGGTTAAATGTAAAGATTAAATACTATCTTAACGGAGTTATTATAAAAGCAATAGAAACTTGTTGGTAAATAGCATTGAACACTATCTTGTTAGTTTTTTTTAAGAATGTGTTTTTAGAATAATCTTCCTAATAATGAAAATAAAGAATATGAAAGTGTATTTCAATATTATTTTTCAGTTTCCACTTTTTATTTTTTTCAATTAAAACAAATTATTTAATATAAGGGAGGAGGAAGTAATCTACTTTCCTTCTGGTTAAATAGTTTCTGAAAAACGAATTAAACATTGAATTTTAAATTAAAAAAACCAGTGTAACAAATGTATATGATTTTGAAATTACCATCTAATGATTACAATTGCAATGATCTATTCATTGCAATTCACAATAAAACACCTGAAAGTGGTGAACAAAATGTATCTTGGTTAAATGTTTCATTGTTTCAAAAAGGTGCAATGCAGAAATATACTATTTGCATTACTTGAAACATCTGAGCGTATATAGATTTTCAAGTGTTTCAAAAGTGGTATATGTTATGGTGCTTCATGGTGTTCATAAAGTCTCTCTAATTATGTATCCCCATTTTAGTTTTAACAATAAAGAGACCTATCTCCTCGGGTGACTAAAACACAACGTGCTCGCTTTCTGTGAAGCAGCTTGGGTTTGATATCCAACCAGGGCAAGAATGAAGCTGTAGCTTTCTAATACAAATCAACTCAGTTTCTATAGCTGTGTGACAGAAGTAAAAGCTCAGACAGGCCAAGTAAGCTAGGTACTGTAATGGGAATACATCAAGCTCACCCTACGTCACCTTACCCCAGGCATGGGTAATAAATAAAAACAGAGCTCAGGCTTGAGAGCAGCACTTGCTGGCATAAGTCTGATTAGATTGACACTAAAATGCCAAATGCATACATACTAAAGAGGCCTGATAATCGTGAATTGCACAATATTTAGTTCATAAATGTCATGAAAGTTATAAATTGTTTGTGTTATTCTTTCTTCCTTCATTACTTTCTTACTACATTCTTTTAACTCCTTTCTTTCTTTTATTAAATTGATTGTGAGTAATCATTCCAATGGCTCGGAGGAAAATTTTAAGAAATTCCTCATTTGGAAGTTTTATGCGATTCCCCCCCCCCTCTCTCTCTCTCTCTCTCTCTCTCTCTCCCGCTCACTCTCGCTCTCTCCCACTCTCCCGCTCTCCAGTTTAATTTTATATTGATTTTGGGTTTCTACATTTTCCTGACCGTCCATGCTATGGAATGGGAGTACCCAAGAGAACTGGATCTCTAAAAATGTAATTAAAAAGGATCTCATTCTGTAGAATACTGCTTAAGAAACATAATTTGGGATGCCACCTGTCCCCCTTCATTTTTCTTCAAGTCCTCTCAAAACGCGTGTGTACATAAAACTCCCCTGTCACCATAAACATGACAGTGACCCAAATTGGTCACTGTCATTTCTCCCACAGACATCTTCTGCGCAGTGACTCACCCCCTACTTGCGATAGTTGCGATATGGATCTTAGTGGAGCATATTCTTCTGCACGACAAAGCAGCCGACGAAGGCTTCAACTTGCTAGCTCTCTAGCACAGGTATTTGGAATTGATAAATCTTCTCTCTGCAAGCTTTTTAGTTTCTTACGAGAGTCTGACATTTGCAGCATTATCTGAGAGAAGAGGATTATGCCAGTTATTTGGCTTATAATTTGAGATCTTAAAGTGTTTATCTGTCTCTTTTCAGACAACCCTTGTAAATAATTGAACATGTTTATGTTCAGTTTTACTTACATTTTACCTTGCGAAAAAAGAAAAAAGATTGTTTGACATTGCTTCAGTGCGTATTGCTCTTTTAAAAACAATTAAAATAAATTGACACAGGTGTGAATGACCTTAGCTGTTAAAGCGCCCTTAAAATCTTAATCATCATCATCAATTACATGCGATTCACCTTGTAAAACTGTACTTCTGTTTTTAAAGTTTCTAAATTTAAATTTCACTCTTCAATTTTCTTGTTCCTACTATGAAATATTCCTGTTGAAAAAGGTTGCCAAAGAATTTAATTTGAAGAAAGTTGTCAGTATGAGATCATGTTTTTGGAGTTTGATAATTATCGTAGGCAGAATAATGAAGTGTGCGACTATATGACAGTTCGCTTTGGATTCCTTCTTCAGAAATGCAGTTATTCTTGTTGAAGTAGTGCAAGTCACATCTGGATTAAGTAACGGCAGTACCTTAGTACATACAATGCATGATGTAATAAAGCACTGCATTGAGTCATACACAGTCAAACATCGATTTAGTTCTCCTCTATATTCCGCCACCCTCAGATACCATATTTTGCAAACAATAAATAATCATTCTCCTATTACTAATACATGTTTAGTTATCTTGATAAAACATTACCCTCCCCAATCACCATTCACCATGGAATGCAGAGGTGCAGGAAGTTCAGACAGTTAGAAGCACTTTCTTCGTGGATCAATTGCTCATGTGAAGAACTACCCCTGATTATGTGTAGTACCCCTTCCTTCCCACCTCACTCACTTTTCTAGCAACTCCACTGTCTGTGAACTGCAAGTGGCCTGCAGGAAGTGGAAGGAAGCAGTTATTTGGACCTGCTGGTAGTGTGTCTGCAATGAGTTTGGCAGTAGAGGAGAAGAGTGAATTGTGGGCTTTTAGAGAAGCAAGTTCTGCTAGTCAGCAGAATGTTTCAAATCTTTTTTTATATTATTATTATTATTAGTAGTAGTAGTAGTAGTATTAGTATTAATAATAAAAATATTAAGGGATAAATAACTGGGAGAAGTGTGGGTGATATTCTCTAGAAAAAACATAAGTGAAAGGAAGAAATGTGTTCTAGCTTTGTTATAAGGCCAACGTCTTTATAACATCAAAACGTGCTGTGAATGGATGATGGTGTAATAACGAGGTTTAGCAGTACTCATATGTACAGGTGTTTTGAGTAATGCTACAATAAAGTTTTTTTATAAAGTGCTGCTGTCAAACATGTAGTAGAGTAATTCTTATTTAATCTTGTCAGTCATCATTAGTGGTAGTCTGTCATTGCCTTTCATCCCTTCGGCCAAGGCCTCGGCGCCTTAGATCCCCAAGGTATCACAGGAATTACGTATCCTCTGTGACTTCATGGAGCATAGTTAAGCAATTTGGCTAGCAATGCTGCCAGTTCAGATAGACCCTGATAGAGGGGAATATCTGCTAGTTTCTCGTAGAATATTAGTTCTCAATGGAGCTTGGACAAATCGCTGAAGTAATCAAATTATTAACTTGTACAGTCGGTTGTGTACATAAGTATTCGGCGGCACAGTTCAAATTGTCAAAGCACAAAAAGGGTGATTATCTAAATATTTCAAAACATTTTGTCAGACAACCGAGTTACAGAGTAAATAACTTTGTCTTTAGCCATGAAATAAATAATTATGCTTAGGTAAAAACTGTTCTGCAAAATGACATTTAAAAATATATATAAATGTCACTTTTCTTGCAACTGATGATTCATTACCAGAATTTTGGATAGAAAATCTTAGGAGCTACTGCTGTATTGACGTCACTGAGTCTTTTGTCGAATGATACACAACTGAACATGAAACGGTTCGTTTGACATGGGAGCTTTCTGCCCATGGGGTGTATATCAGTTCATGGAGCAGAGCAAACCTCTTTCCAACTGGAAGATCAGTCACAGAGACATTCCAGGGAACTAGGAGTCTAATGAAATGAACCATACAGTTTGAACTCAAAAAACCGGCACTTGTTGGTGAGACTGTGGTTTATTTTTTACGGTAGAAAGAAAAGAAAAAAAGTAAAAGAAAAAAGAAAAAAAATATATAAATTTAATGTACAAATGTATTTAAATTTATGCATTTAAAGTAAAAATATACTCAATCATCACTACAGCCTGGCAGTTCCTGCATTTGTTTTACCTAAAATAAGCAGGCAAAAAGGCATTTACTTTAACTGAAATAGGCATTCAAAAAAAGGATTTATTGTTTCTAAAGTAGGGGTGCAAAAAGGCATGAAGAATAAAAAGTGATATTCAAAAGGAAATTTAGAAATTTAATAATTAAAATAATTTACATTTTTGCTCAAACTAAAATTTACATTAGCACTTAACATGTAAAAAATCAATCTTTTCCTTTTAATCTTGATTCCACATGACCATGCGATATGATGGTTATGTACTTCTTTTACTCGAGAAGCTGTCTCTTAGAAATACTATTGTAAACTCCCTTTTGGATCCTCATATGCCATCATGCCAATATCATGAAAACAGAATTATGGTTTTCATTCCTGGCATTTGTGAAACCCAGCACTAAGAAGGGAACATCATATACCGAGAGATGTCCTCGAGAGGGATCAGTGACCTACTCCAAAGTACAATGGGGTCCTTGAGAGGGAACAAAGCCTGACAGCTTCAATGAAAAAGTAAAAAATCTTGACTGGTATTGTTCTTTTTCATTTAGATTTTTATCACATTCTCTGCTTGCACAGAAAGATAAAACACTAATGTGCCTTCATGTTTTCCATACTCACAGGTATATATCTAACTTGATCGTGATCAGTGCTAGGAAAAGAAAAAAAGAAATCATGAGAAAAATGGCAGAAAAAAGATAAAAAATTAAAAATTGGAATTGGAAGCAACAAAAAGCAAAAAAGATGAAAAAGTTAAAGTTGGATTCATAGGCAAAATAAAAATCTAGTAAAAATGAGGGAAAAGGCAGAAAAAGTAAAAAATAAGGCAAAATGGCAAAAATAGGCCAAAAAATGTCAAAATAAAATGTACTTAAACAACCCCAGATGTACAATTAAGTAATTCCTATTGTTAAACATTATAAAATGGTAACAATAACAAAAAGGCATTTTGCCAAAGCTCTGGACTCTAATCATCATATATATGCTGAAATATACACAATGAGATATTGCATAATTATTCCAAACAACAGAATATGAATTTGCGGTCTTTACCAAGCCATTACATTCAAGTTTTAAAAAATGCAAATATGCAAAATGTGCTGCCTTTCTTTTTAAAGTGACCCTACAGCCAATACATTTGTAAATTGATCTCTTTTAAGTGGTCTCTGACAAGTTTCAACTGTAAGAATAAGAAGTAGAAGTGCAGTGGAGATTGTTCTTGATTCAGTATCTTCTTGCAATGGGAAGTATTGTCTAATTTCTTAGAAGAATGTCTTGATTTGCGGTGGAATGCATTGGAACATCATTCTGGCACCTCCGGAACAAAATAGTAAAGATAAACAAGTAGTAGTGAACAAGCACCTGGTGATTATATATTCAAGTTTTGTAAACTCTTAATTAAATAATTTTCCACTTTATTGTCTCTATCATTCCTGTATATGTAATATAATTATTAGTTGTGGTCTTATAAAAATATCATTATATACCTCAAGGTATTCTTTCTTTGTTGTTGTTTTTTGTTGAAATATCAGTAAATAGAAAGAAATTATCTAATCTTAAGTTTTATTGCCACATCACACAATAAACAAAGTTTTATTTTTGCTACATCACACAATAAACTACAACTGCTACAAGACATTCATAGAGAAAGCAAGAAGGTAGGACTTATGTTTCTGTAATATGTATATAATTATATAATCTTACAAAGAAATTAGTCAAAAAATAGTCCTTACATGGTAAAAGATCTGGAATCTTGCATTCATATTAAACAATAAGTTCAGATGAATTTAAAGAAAGAAATTATCAACTCATGCATTCTATGTACATTAATGGATGCCAGACTTGGTCCTTAACTTCTGCACAAAAACTGAAATTAACAAGATATCAAAAAAATTGAAAGGAAGATCATGAACATTACACTAAAAGATTAGTAACGAAATCATTAATAATACAAAAAGGGCTATGAAATTGTCTACTGTGTGGATTAAGCTGACTAAATTAAAATGTCAGTTTCTGTTATTAAATAATCATTAAATGGAACATTTTTAAATCAATTTTCTAATTAATATTGAATTATTTTCATGGTAATCTCAATAATTAACATTGAATTATTTTGATGGTCATCTGAAGTTAGTTATACTAACAACAATTATTAACTTCTTCAGTAAATCAATCAGTTGTTTTTAACAAAATCCTGGTGAACATTGCAATTAAATGTTTTACAGTACATTTAATATTTATATACACCAACACCATTATTTTAAGCTACAACTGGTACTTGTGATACTGCATGAAATATATAGGAATGTATTTTTTTTGAGATGCAAAATTTTGCATTTTTGCTCCAATCAGTATGAACAAGTTTCTATTGCCCTCCACAGAATGCTTTAGTGCTGCTTTAAGACTCCTCACTGCATAGTCATTATGTTGAAGACAAATTTTAAATAGTGTGGGCCATCAGATTTTCTTTTTCTTTTTTTTTTTTTTTTTTTTCTTTTCTTTATTATTCAGTGTAAACACACATTGCACTTTCATTGGGGGTAAAAAATGTTAAATTCAGTCTGGTAGAAAAATAATGGACTCTGCAGCTCTAATTTCTAATCATATTATCATTCAAAATTTTATGTATTAGAAATAGTACATCTTGTTTTTAATATTTAATTGTGGTGTATTTCGGTAAGACTACTCATTCTAATTCGAATATTTCAGTCATCTGCCTAGTAAATGCGGTATTTACTAATCTCTTTGTAGTGCTTCACTTTATCTAAGAATGCCCTTAAGTCTTTGGTAAGTTCCTTCATTTGTAGACACCCTGTAAAGTTATACATTGTTTTTTCACTTGTTTACCATTTGCTTTCATCTACTTAACATTGCTTATAAGGAATGCGTGTCAAAAAGTGAAGAAATGCAGATTTCAGGAGTAATTATTACACGTTTAAATAATCACTCCTGTCAAATGCTGCTAATATTAGAATTTCTGTGTAATGTTATGTACCTTGTTTACTTCTGGTGAGTAGAAATGGAATACTTTTTTCTGTGTGATAGTTCAAGATAAAAGTAGAATGAGAACACATGCAGGAAGTATTTGTGGTTTTGAATGTGTGCATATGTGTATCGGTTATGTGTGAACTACTGCACCGTTTCAATACCTCAATTTGACTTGCAAGAGAGGTGAGTTAATGTAAGTTGCTGTGTGGTAGTTGTTATGTCCACAAATGAATATCTCCCCAACAGTTGAGTTTGTTTGTTTGTTTGTTTTTTCTTTTCTTATTTTTTTTTCTTTCTTTTTTTTTCTTTTTTTTCTTCTTTTTTCTTTGCAGATTAGATTTATTGTGGACATAATGATTTGTCCCCAGCCCTTTTTTTCTTTTCTTTTTGTTGTTGGTGTTGTTATTGCAAAGGATTCAGTGGGTAAGAGATCATGTGTAGGCTTTTCTTGTCTCTTCTTCCTTTTGCATGGTTTTGCTCTGCTAATTCTATTTAGGAGCCAGTCCAGTGCCTTGAAGACCCTGTCCAACGAGAGAACGCTCTGCTAGACTCCTTCAGTTCAGCTTTGTGTGCATCATACTTGTACATTTTGCATTAAATGTATGCTTTTTGCCTGACCATACCTTTCTCTCTCGCTCTTTCTTTCCCTCTTTCTTGAACAGGTATTTCGTGTTGCTGTTAATCCCACCAGAACTTCGTGTGAGACTCCTACCTTGCAATCTATAATTAAAACATTATCTTTTAGTTGTTATAGTTTTAACAATCCCTTTTTAACTTGGTT